TTAATCCTTTCTTCATATAGTTTTCTTCCTTGATCTATTTCTTAAATTGTTTTGTCTATTAAGATTATTTATTAATCAGAACTTAACACTTCTGATTAATAAATAATCTTAATGTAGTGTCTATGCTTTTAATAATCTATACATATAATTTACTATCATTTTAATACTCTTTTTCGATGAATTAGATACTTCTTTTTATTTTTAGAAAAATTTGCTGTATACATTTATCAATTATGAATTAAAGTTTTTTTTATTAGTATTGACTTGACACGAAAAGAAATGTCATCTACTCGTGGTCGAAAAATTCGTTGCCTTCTCAAACAACGTCTTTCGGCTCTTTCTAACTCTTCGATAGCGATAAGAATTGCGTATCCGTCAGCCATTTTTACTTTCGTGTAGCGATCTCACATGCTCGATTCAACGTGAGTAGCAACTCGCATGATGAGATGGGAAAGCACGTGAGTTAGAGACTACCAATTTGACGTCAGTGTGTGAGATGGTACCACGTGACACCTTCAACACGTTGGGAGTTATAACACGAAAAACTCGAGACTAAGGCCCCAGAAATATTTCCAATTTCTTTATTCGATGCCGAAACTGGCTGGTATCGATACTTTAAAATTATTTATGATACTGGTATCAATACTTTTGTGGTATCGGGACGTCCCTACTCATCGTTCGGAGACTAGCCGCTGGTTTTTTTTAAACTCCGCCCTGTGGGTACTAAGAGACCTTTTTTAGCAAGCCCATTATGGGTTCGACCAGGCCCACAATGGGGCGACCGGGTGGTGAGGGACGGGCCCGACATATCCGGACGGACCACCCCGAAAAATTACTGGGTATTTATCGACCCGTCCAGATTCGAACCCGGACCCTCCAGGGCAGTAGGCTGCCAGCCTGCCACCTTCATCACTCTGCCATCATAGACGAAAAGAGTAAAAAAACCGTCCTCTTTCAATCCGGAAAAAAATGTTTAAAAATGTCCTTTCTAATCAATTTAATTCAAATATTTTTCATAATTTATTCATTTCTAAAATTAATTATTACATGTAATTTCTTCTAAAGTATTTATTATCAATTCAATGACAATTTTGGAGCCACCAATCGGAAAAAAACGGTACTATACTGTATACAGGCAGACGATCGTTGTATCTATTTTAAATGCGGTATTGCTCTTACGATCGAATTATATAGATAATTAATTAAAAACTTATCAAAATGCCTCGGGAAATGATTATGTTACAATTGGGGCAATGTGGAAATCAAAGTAAGTAGAAATAATCATTAAATTTAATAAATTTAGTCTATATGATATCCGTTTGGCGCGAATTGTCAAAATCTCAAAGAATGACGATTTATTGTTATTTTTAAATGTTATTTTCATAAATTAATTTAAAAGTTATCGTAGATACTTTGCATACACACTATACATATATATGCACACACATATATCATTTATCTAAAAGTAACTTCTACCAAATTCTTGTATGTACTGTACAGTCAATCACAAAAATAAGTACAGTATACACTCCACATAATGCCATAGATACGAAAAAAATAATAAAAAATAGTAATTTCCCGTTAATGGGACGCCAACCAATATGTACAGCAACAGGTGGTGTGAAACCCATCATTTAGATGGATTTCAGACCACCACCAGAATTGTTGACCCTTTGCAAGATATTTGTCTCCAAAAATCAGTTTTTAACATGTATCAGTATACTGCCTATTCTACATACTTCACATCTAGTTGTGCATTTCAGTGCTCACTATCACTTGGACCTTGGTACCCCCACACCCTCTTAAAACTATATAACATCAAGTACACAGTGAAGTGTTCCACAAACGGTCAAGTGGGCTACTCAAAGCCAGCACAGTCATGAGGGCCAAATAGTTAAATACAATAGTCTTAGTGGATCGATGAGAATGACTGTATCAGGTGTTGGATTAGTTACAACTGGTGTCTCATTAACAGAAATGAACCCAAAAAATTAATTGTGGAAAAAAGTAAATTCATTTATTTTATAAGAAACTTTTAAAGTGCTTTAGACAAAAGAAATCTATAATGATATAACAAAATATAACAGATATACAGTAGAGCATTGATTATCCAAAACAATTTGGGACTGGGGTTGTTCGGATAATTGATTTTTCGGATAACTGATCATGTATGAAAAATATATTAACTTATCTCATGTTGAAATTTTTCTTTGTTGCGTGTCACTTTGCGTTGAATTTTTGTCATTGTTAAGCCTAACAAAAATTTAAAAAAAATAAAATCATGGCTATTGTATCATTAAAAATTATTTCTTTATTTTGCACAGACAAAATAAATATATTGAAAAATATAAGAACAAAAAGTATTTCAAAAGTTAATCTAGTATCAAAAACATTCTGATTCAGCATGACACACAGTTCTTAGAAAAACACCACACAAAACAAGCAAAACTCACCTCTCACGATGGGGAAAAAAGCTTCATTGAAATATTGGTGTGTCCTTAAGTATTTGCACTGGCGTGTCCCTCTCATGGACATGCCAGTGCTGTCAGCTAAAACACGCACACCAACAAAAATAATATTGGCGTAGCCCAACACATAGCCAAATATTGCAGTGCCACAACACTGGTGAAAATTTGAATTTACTGACTGGAATGCTTTCGGTTAACCAATGTTTCGGTTGATCAGTATTCGGATAATTGATGCTCTACTGTATATCAATGTAAGGAAAGATATTGACAAATTCATATCACAAAAGAAATGACCCTAAACGTACATCTGTAATTGCTAAGGATTGGTTTGTTGTACCATGTTTGTGGGCAACTGAAAACAACACCTAAATCATCTGATATGAATCTCAAAGAATGTTTGTGTGACTGAGTAGAAAACAACATCAGAAACAAAGTGGAACTAAAATGCAGGTGATGAGGCTAGAAAATGTAGCACATTTATAGAGGCCTTCTATTATTGCCCATATGCTTAAAATAGTCTTTGATGAATCTGGACCAATAGTGGACAAGTAGCTGAACTACTTACACACTACAGAGAGTTAAGGTGGGTAAGTTGCATTTACTATCGTCATTACGTTTACACATTTAACTTTCACTACAAACAAATACAGTCACTGCGAGAGTTTTTCTACAAGAAACAAGAAACATCACAATTACATAAAGCAGTAACTCTAGCAGACTCAAATAACACACTATTAAACTTACACTCACAACACACAGACATGACACAACGCACAAAAAGCATAGACACCATCAAGCAATCGTGGGCTCGAAAGGCACTCCATGGCAGGCATCCTTATGACCTGGCCCAGGATTTTGTTGACAAAACTGCATCAAACAGCTGGTTAGATCAGGGATGCCTCATTGGGGAGACGGAAGGATTCATGATTGCCATACAGGATCAGGTCATAAATACTAAAAACTACAGAAAACACATACTCAAAGATACAACACTCACAAATGACACATGCAGAAAATGTCACATCATGCCAGAAACTATACAACACATCACTTCTGGTTGCAAGCTCTTGGCACAGACAGATTACTTACATAGACACAATCAAGTAGCAAATATAATACACCAAGAGCTTGCAAAGAAACACAAATTGGCAGACATCCACGAACCATACTACAAGTATATTCCACAGACAGTATTGGAAAATAACACGCACAAAATGTATTACGACAGAGCCATAATCACAGATAAAACAATTTACCACAACAGACCAGACATCACACTCATTGACAAACACAATAAAATCACATACATTATAGACATAGCCATTCCAAACACTCACAATGTACAAAACACATGCACTGAAAAAATTAGCAAGTACACAGAACTCGCCCAGGAAATAAGGCATCTGTGGAGGATGGATAGGGTGCTTATTGTACCTGTCATTCTCTTTTCTACAGATATGATACCACACACACTGTACCAAGTCTGGGAACATTACAATTGAATAGAAATACATCACACTACAGAAGGCCACTACATTGAATAAGTGTCATATTGTTAGGAAATTCCTGAATACAGACACACACACTGACACACTTATTTAATTTTAGTTTTGTTTTGATTGCTGTGCCTTGACTTTGGTTCGGCACAGTACATAGCCACTGGTGTCAACCAAGTATATTCCACTAAATCCAACATAATAATGCTGATGATGCAGTAAAATAATAAAGGTATGCTGAAAAACCTAAATTAAAACTAAAATTCTGAAGGTTCAAACCTTCATCATCTAGCTCCAGTACCTAGCATCTTATTCACTCAACTGTTGCCACTTACGTAAAACTTTTAAATACTTAGAAGCTAAAAACTAAGTTTTCAGAGACCCAATTTTTGGAAATTCTTGAGAAGTGGGTCCTATCATTTGGAGAATGAGCTGTTTGTGTTTAGGGCTATGTGCTCACCAAGTTTCATTTAAATTGGAGACCTGAACATCTGGTCCTCCCCTTGTTAGCAATAGGAATCATTTTTGAATAATTTTTTAATGAATAATTTTAGATAACACATTTGATCACAATGTTTAAACAGTATTTCACAGGTTCTGTCATGTCAAAATTTTTGTTTTAGCCTACTGAAAAAGATAAAATTTAAAAAATTCATCCCAAAAAAATTCTTAAAAATTTCTGTCGGTTGATAAAAAATCTCAATCACAAACCTACCTTCAGTTCTTAACATCACTTTCCATTTTTTTTCCCGAACTTGCTGTGTAATGTCATGATGAAATCACTAGATAAATGATGCATGTGACTTTCATTGTATGGAAGCTTGACATTTTGCAGTTTTTCCTGAAGTGTGATTTGTGATTCATGATTCAATTTCACGCTGAATGTTGAAACAAGTGGACCAGGATTTTATCGTGACTTGCTATCACCAGTATTATATTTTTATCACCACTTTAATAAAAATATTGCGAAGTGACGATTTTGGCGGTATGCAGTGCAACCTCTGTAACCTCACAGAGCTTGATCAAAATCAGTGACCTCATTAATACTTACTTGATTTGGCTGCAACTGACTTTGTTTTGTTCCTAAAGTTGAAGTTGGCCATGGAGGGGAGCACATTATTGACTTTAAGGCATCAAGAATTCTGAACAGCCTCATTTGGAACAAAAGTTTTTGAAAATGTTTGATTGGTTGTATGATCATTGAAAGAAATGCTTTGATGCTAGAGGGGAATATATTAAATAAAAGTAAAATTTCATTCAAATATCTTGTCTGTGCTTTATTATTGAGAAAAATCTGGTTCAGATTCAACCATGTAGTGTATCACAGTTTATCTATGAATCAAGTGTTTTTAAAATTGTATTAGTTATGTTTTGTTTGAATTTTAATGTACAGTACTAATAAATTATTAGAATTGTCATCTTTTTACAATGGGTAAATTTTAAATGATTTTAAATTATGTAATTTGAAATAAAATTTATAAATAAAGGATATTAATAAATTTAATTTAATTTTAGTTGGTTTTGAGTTTTGGAAGAAATTATGTGCGGAACATGGAATTAGTCCAGGTAAGCTTCAGATCTAATGGATATTGTATATTTATTGAATATTAAATGTTACATGAAATTAATTACTCGTTTTTTTATGAATGGGAATATTTAGTTTCTAGCACAATTTATATTATAAGTGTTAATTAAGTCTTTATATATTATATTATTATGAAATTAATTACAGTAGAGCATCGATTATCCAAATCAATTGGAGACTGGGTTATTCGGAAAATTGATTTTTCGAATAACCAATTATGTACAAAAAAATATATTAACCTATCCCATGTTGAAATTTGTTCAAATCCTGGCACGTCCTTAACTATCCTCTCATGGTCATGCTAGTGCTGCCAGCTAAAACATGTGCACACCAACAAAAATAATATTGGAGTAGCCCAAGACATAGCCAAAGATTGCAGTGTCACAGCACTAGTGGAAATTTTAATTTGCCAACTGGAAAGCTTTCAGTTAATTTAATTAATTTATTTAATTGACATTTCGGTTGATTGATATTCGGATAATTGATGCTCTACTGTATTTAGTTTGTAATGTTTATATTTAGAAAATATAGATAAATTTTATTTATTGTTTCTGTAAATATTATCTGTAGGATGTATAACTATTGTTTCTGTAGGATAAAAAACAAAGGCATTTTATTATAAAACTTACATGTATTCCTTATATATGTTGATTTTATAATAAAGTGGGCGATATGCTGCATATAACAATATAACTAATATAATTATATATAATAAATATAACAAGATCAGCTGATTCTCAGATTGAAGAACAGCATGATTGATCTCAATCAAATTCCAAAAAATTAAATTAGTGGGAATATAGTCATCATGCTATAATCCTGGCAGTAAGTATTAATGAGTATGTATGACAAATGAACCATTAATATTTTTTCATAAATTTGAAATGTACAGTAATGAACAAACAAATTATTATTTTCAATAATGTAATGCAGAAAAAATGACAATTTATTATAACATATAGACATATATTCACACATTCATACTATACTATATGTCATNTATCTGTAGGATGTATAACTATTGTTTCTGTAGGATAAAAAACAAAGGCATTTTATTATAAAACTTACATGTATTCCTTATATATGTTGATTTTATAATAAAGTGGGCGATATGCTGCATATAACAATATAACTAATATAATTATATATAATAAATATAACAAGATCAGCTGATTCTCAGATTGAAGAACAGCATGATTGATCTCAATCAAATTCCAAAAAATTAAATTAGTGGGAATATAGTCATCATGCTATAATCCTGGCAGTAAGTATTAATGAGTATGTATGACAAATGAACCATTAATATTTTTTCATAAATTTGAAATGTACAGTAATGAACAAACAAATTATTATTTTCAATAATGTAATGCAGAAAAAATGACAATTTATTATAACATATAGACATATATTCACACATTCATACTATACTATATGTCATCACCAGTGGTGATATTCGAAATATTTAACAAAGGGTTCTCTAACAGAAAATTTTTCCTTAACAATTTTTTTTTTTGCTCAAATGGTGCATTAGCAACATTAGCGCAAAAACAAACCTTAAGATACCCATATAAATAAAAAAGATGTGTTCGCAAAATTAAGTCAGTTAAAATTTAACATTGTTTATGCCAGAACTATATTTTTTTTTTATAAATAATGAAAAAGAGTGTTCAAAATGGTTTATTTTGTACATATTTTAATATTTTTCATTCAAAATATGTTATAAACATAAAAATTGGCTTTTTTTTAATCAGAAAAAGTCATACGGAAAGCAGTTAAACAAGAAAAACTTTTCTAAATCATTTATTTTATCGTTAGGTATTATTATAATAATAGACAGATGTCATCGTCTCTCGAAATACAATATCTTTCTTAGTTCGCTGTTGATAGCCCAACACGTGTTCCTCAGCCATCTTGTATTTTCTTGCGTGCGTGGGATTTTGGATCTTTCTTATGACTGGATTTATAGTTTCGAGCACTCTCTCAAGTCGATCGCGATTGAACCTCGTTTCAGTCGAGATGGAGGTTGCACCAGGCGAACAGGGAATAAGGCTCTAGTTTAGTAGTGTTACAGAGTATAATACATATATTTTAATATATTTTTTAAAAGAAACAAAACCACTGAGAAATGTTACATGTGTTTAACAACGGGTTCGGAAAACTTTGAAAATGTTAACAACGGGTTCGGCCGAACCTGTGCGAACCCGCTGAATATCACCACTGGTCATCACAGACATGTACTCACATTTGATAGCAATCAATATGTTGGCTTTGTTATATTTTCTGTGTGAAAAGTATAATCATAATGAAGTAAAATGGATCAATAAATATGAACTGGATAAGAAAATCTAAATTGTTTATGTAAAACATAAGAAACAAATAGCATTAAATTTTCAAGTAATATTTCAAACTGAATAAATTAAATAAGACAAAACAAAGTTGTTAAATTCCAACACAACTGTTTTTAATGGCTAACATGGCTTTTGAATAAGGTCAAAAACTTTAGCCATTAAAAGTAATTGTGCTGGAATTTAAGATTTTTGTTTTGTTAAATGTTACACTTCTGAACGTAAGCACATGATAGAACATTTATCTTAAAACAATGCAATTGAAAACTATACAAACAAAAACCTATTACAATGAAACATCCATTAATGGACATTTTTACAATCCCCAGAACCTCAAAATAGGACATCTATAATATTTATCTCTATAACGGATGCTGTCTTCCATAACCTACCTTACAAAAACAAATGCCTTTAATATTCTAAAAGAATTAATTATGTAAGAAATATTTTAGAACAAAAACAAAGAATTGGTTCAAATACTCTTTCAGATTTCTAATTTTTTCCTATTTCCCTACATTCTGGTTGTAAAAAGCTGAACAATATTTTTTATCTGTTAAAGAAGACTAATCTGGTTAATTTGTCAAAATCATTTATAGTCATACATGTTAATTCGTTGTATTTGTTATATGATGACTGTGTTAAATACAGTATAGCCACCAGCATACTGTACCTCTAAATGTCAGACAAACCTCTTGGTTCAAAAGGTGTCTGCTATTAAAAAGTTATACTGTACTGCTAAAATAACAAAGCTTCAGTCTTTGGTGTTAAAATATGTTAAATGTAAAAAGCAAAAACTTATTTTTCAAACATTTTCAACATATGTAAAGTGTTGTCTTCAACAATATATTTTTGAAATTAAGAACATTTTGTACATGTTAAATGTTTGATCAAATAAATATATTTTCTTCATTTATTCCTATACTAAAATAAAGAGATTTTAACACTAAAGAGTGAGTTAATTTTATTGTTTCATCTTAATAGTGGTATAAGTTATCATTAGTTTTTACTTATTACTGTTAATTAATTTTTTCCAATAAAAAAATTAATAAAATATAAATGTAAAATATTATTTCATTTTTAGTTATAGTATAGTTGTTACCGCTAAAGCTCGAAAATTGTTAATGTGTACGTACATTACCTAGCTAATCTACATATTAACTAGGGTGATCCGTTAAAGTTGTGAAAATTGTTCCATTTCTCAAATTACCTAGATAATGTGCAGAGTACCTAGGTAATCCACACATTACCTACTAGGCACTCGGTAAAGTGAAAATAAGATCTTTGCAACAAATAAATGTACCACAAATAGATGTGCTTGTCGCAAAAACCAATTGCTATGAAATTCAAAGTGTCACCAATCTTTAGACTGCACTAGTAAGTAAGCACAATTGGATAATGTTACTTATGGTGAGTGAAATGGTGGCTCGTCTCTGATTCCAGCAAACAGAAGAAAGGAAACAGTGGGGACGCACGTTCTAACCTAACCTAACCTATTCTAATAATTTAGTTCAGCGCTGTCCAACTTATCATAGCCCGCGGGCCATATTTTCTTCACCAAACATTTCGGGGGCCAAGAAGGTTGGTGATGGCTAATTGGTCGGCCGGGAATCACGCTATATGACATTTGCATAGTGCTACGGTCTGTAAGCACTAATTGGTCAGCGAGTCCGATGTTGACACTATAAAAAGGCGACAGTTCGACACACCGGATATACGTCACTCTCGTCTAAGTTCGACTTGGGAATTTTTTTGTTCAATAATAAATGTGAATTCTTCTTCCTGAAAAAATAAGACCTAGCGCATTTTTCAGAGCAAAAATTAATATAAGACACTGTCTTATTTTCAGGTAAACACGGTAGTAAAATAATTTTAATAATAATAATTTAGTAACATAAATTTATTCATATTAAAATGTACTCGCGGGCCGTAAAAATTATTTGGCGGGCCGCCAGTTGGACAGCGCTGATTTAGTTGATAATAATTATGGTAATTTATTAGACTAGGTTAGGTTAGGTTAGGTTAGAATATGCGTCCCCACTGTTTCCTTTCTTCTGTTTGCTGGAATCAGAGACGAGCCGCCATTTTACTCACCATAGGTAACATTAACTGCACAATTATATCATGCGATCACCAGAAAAAGTATGATAACTTTATTATTTTTCGTCTCCGGTCCAAAAGTAGGGTATCGTTGAAGTCGTCTCGGTCCCCTCAGTTCAGATAGATACTCAAAGTCCCGAAATTCCATAGGTGGTTATCTATATAATAATTTCCCTAATTGTATTAATATTTTAAATCGTTTGATTTTTTGTATGTTTTTTAATTGGTTGATGATTGATTCTATCAACTAATTTGTCGATTGTTTGATTGTATTAACTTGATTCTTTAGATATCGAAAATTAAATAAAGAACATTATGTTAATTTAAGCGTACAGAAACGTTGCTGTTGTTTCAGCAAAGATCTTATTTTCACTTTACCGAGTGCCTAGTAGGTAATTTGCAGATTACCTAGATAATCTGCACATTACCTAGGTAATTTGAGAAATAGAACAATTTTAGCAACTTTAACGGATCACCCTAGTTAATCTGCAGATTAGCTAGGTAATGTACACATTAACAACTTTCGAGCTATAGCGGTAACATAGTTATAAATTCATTAGTTCATTTTATGACATAAATGTTATAAAATGAAATAATGAATTTATTTTCTATTAAATGAATTAAAAATATAAGAATAAATGATTAATCAAAACTAATAAAATGATAAAAAAAAAAAGACTTTTTTGTATATATTTGATATTCCTAATTGTGTGCATAAGCAGACAAGAGGTTTTCATTGCCAAAGTTACTTAGCATGTGAAAATCTTACAATTTTTATGTCACACATTTAAAGTGCATATGTGAGAACTTAGTGAAGTAAAAAATTTTCTGTGGAAAATATAGGGTTATCAAAAGCTAGAAATTCAAGATCAAAAATTTTATTTTTGATCTTGAATTTCTAGCTTTTGATAACCCTATATTTTCCACAGAAAATTTTCTGATGATTGACTTTCAAGATCAAAAATAAAATTTTTGATCTTGAATTTCTAGCTTTATTATTCATCTAAGATTACAGTAGAGCATTGATTATCCGAAAGTCAATCATCAGAAACGTCAATCATCCGAAAGAATTCCAGTCGGCAAATTTAAATTTTCGCCAGTGCTGTGGCGCTGCAATCTTTGGCTATGTCTTGGGCTACTCAAATATTTTACGTTTTTGATACTAAATTAACTTCTGAAGTATAATTTTTTATTGTTTTTATATTTTTCAATATATTTATTTTGTT